GTGTGTGTGTGTGTGTGTGTGTGTGTGTGTGTGTGTGTGTGTGTGTGTGTGTGTGTGTGTGTGTGTGTGTGTGTGTGTGTGTGTGTGTGTGTGTGTGTGTGTGTGTGTGTGTGTGTGTGTGTGACCACATCATAAAACATCTGAGGAGTGTTTTTATGAGCTGCCCTCTCTGTGAAATCAGAGCGACTAGATGTTTGGCTGCAGCCTGTTTTTAGTCGCAGATTAGGAAGCGATTATTCACGACAATTGCCGGGTTCCATGTGAGTGAGAGCCCGGGTAAATATGGGCTCTTTTTCTGTTTGTACAGTAATTACAGTACAGATCTCTGTGCGGGTGGGAGGGCGTGAGTTTCTGTGTTTCTGAATCAGCCTCCACCCTGACTGTGGTCTCTCTCTCTCTCTCTCTCAGGGGGGGTGAAGCTGGGGCTCGGAGACTTCATCTTCTACAGCATGCTGGTGGGCAAGGCCTCGGCCACAGCCAGCGGCGACTGGAACACCACGCTCGCCTGCTTCGTGGCCATCCTCATCGTGAGTTCTTATTTCAGCGTCCAACTCGCGCCACCGCAAAACCTCCAGCACTTGATTTGTATAACGGCTTTGTTGTTGCTCGCCTGTGCCCCCGCAGGGCTTCTGTCTCATGACATTACTCTGTGGTAGCCGAGTTGCTAGCTCATAGAGTCCTATTGGGAACCCGGAAATGATGAGTACCCCAAAGTTTTATGATAAAAATGTTTAGTACGGGTCCCCACACAAAGACACTGCCGGATGCTAACTTGCATATGTTTGGCAATTTGCACGATTAGCATGATTAGCACAAGTTGCATTGATTAGCATATGCAGACAATAGTTATACAAATGTTTCGAAGTGGTTGTGGGAATAATTGAGAAAGCTGAATCCATTTCTGACATTTATCGGATCAAAAATAGCTGTTAACCAGAAAAAAAAGCAATATTTTGATGTATTTTGGGCCAAATTAGAATTTTAAGGGACTCAAAACTGTTATTTTTAAGCTATTTTCTGCATATGACGACACAAAGCTTTGGTTGTATAACAGCTCTGTTTTGTCTGTTCCCCCCCGCAGGGCTTGTGTCTGACCCTGCTCCTCCTCGCCATCTTCAAGAAGGCGCTCCCCGCTCTGCCCATCTCCATCTTCTTCGGCCTAGTCTTCTACTTCGCCACAGACAACCTGGTGCAGCCCTTCATGGACAGACTGGCGCTGCACCAGTTCTACATTTAGCAGGACGACGCCACGATAAACCTCCACCCTCGCACTTCCTCCGGCCACAACGTCACCGGCCGGGTGGTGAACAAAAGGGCGATGACGGGGGGCCCCTTAACCAGAAAGAAACCCACTATGACAGGACCCCCCCCCATTTTTATTTGCGTTTTAAAACCAAGAAGTGACATTTCTGGCTCGACTTGGGACCTCATCTTCACATTTTTTTATTTACCCAGGGAAGCTTTGCTGGAGCAACAGTAATAATAACCACAGTCTTCTACAACTTTACAGAAGGTGCCTTGCTCAGGGACACTGAGAGGCAGCTGTGGAGCGAAGGGAAATCTCCTTCAAAGACTTTAATCAAACATCTTCATCTTTACAGCCCCCCCCCAAAGCTAACCCTGCTATGAAAGAAAAAAGCCTTCATTGAGTAACGGACGCTCTGCGGTGTTGATGATAGATGTGGAGTTTGTGTTCGAGCTGTCGGTCACCACACGTGCTTTCCTCACCGCCGTTACGAATGGTTAAGAAGCGCTGACGGATGAGCGATCCCACCCCGAGAGATTTACACTGATGTTTTTCACAGGAAAGAGTGGATTTACTATCCGTCAAATCAAATACAAGAAGAATAGATCTGTAACAAATAGTCGACGGAAAGATAATCGCCAAATATTTCTAAATCGATTGATTATTAAAGTCATTTGTAATTAGAAATTGTCCTAAGATTCCGTTTTCAGCCTCTCTGATATGGAGATTTCCGCCTTTTCTCTTTTTTATATCATAAGAAAGTGAATATCTTTGGAGTTAGCTTTGACAAAACAGAGATATTTAAAAACATCACCTTGGACTTTATCGACCTGAGACCTTATTCACAGTTTCTGACCAAACAACCAAACGATGAATGGACCAAACACGTTCTAGATAATGAATATAATCTTGAGTTGGAATCTTTTTTGAAAGGAGTTTAGTTTTCCCACTTTAAAAACAAATCTTTGAGAGTGATTCACACCCGCAGAGACGCACTGATCACGTTTTAAGCCCGTGTATCTCTCTTTGAGATATCAGTGTGCTTGTGACACTGACTCTAATATTCCACCGTGTTTCCTGCCCTTCATTTTAAACGAAAGGAACACCAACAAAATAATCACAAAACCCCGCCTGTAACTTCAATCATTCAATCGTAGTTTTTCTCTCATGCCTTAAAGGTAAACAAAGAATCAAGCAACATAGAAAAGTCTGGAAATGAAGTCAATCATGGCCTCGTTTAAGAAAAGCAAAACCCATGCAGTACAATCCAAGTTTTTACTACTTCATAAACACGTGACCTTTCAACAAAAAAATACTATTAAAAGTATTTTTCTGCAGAGGCTGGCATGTGAGGGAAATTGTCATTTTGTTGGTTAAATATTCCTTTAAATCACAGTTGGTGTCACAGCCTGCAGAGGGAGGAAAGTACACACACACACACACACACACGAGATTGCCTGGAGGTCCAGTGCCTTGCTCGAGGGCATTTCAGTAGTAGTTGTTGTTGTTGTTATTGTTGACAGAAACGTGCTTTTCATTCTTTTCCCTGACTCACATTTAATTTAATTTTTCTCCAACCTGCCCAGAGTAACCTGTGATCATCTGCTCTCACTCTTTAGGCTCCGCCCCCTACTGTGCTACACCTAACACCATGGTTATTTCCACTAAACACAGATACTGTAGTTTTTTCCAAAATATGCATAAGAGAAACTTTGTACTTTTTCAAACACGGGGTAACGGTTCCTACACAGATCAGGAGCGTCTGTGAAACTAACATCAGATCTGTGTGTTTTGAGAAGAGAATGCTGATAAATGAGGGAGATGTAGTTTGAACTTGAATGTGAACATAATCTCCAGTTATCCAGCGTTAACTGTGTATTTTAACAAACCACATTTAAAAAAGGGTCTTCTATGAGATATGGAGTTGTTGCTTCTTATATGTGAATGAAATAATGCAGATTGATGGAGGACGAGCTGCACTGATGGATTTGTATTGTTTCACTCGAGTGCAACGCTTGCAGAGATCAACAAAGGGAACAATATATACAAATATCTGTTCTGAAACTTTGCTTTTTTTTTAGGGAATATGTCGGGTGACTGCCTTTTTTTTCCTGTCCTTCACATGCATATGTGTGTTATGCAAGGTTATTCAATTCAGATTTTGTTTTTTTAATAAATAATGAAAGTTAAAATACTCATTGTTGATGTTGTTTTAAATGGAAGTGCAGCTCTCAGATTCTCGAGACTGTAATTTGTGTTTTTTTCTGCCAGTGTGGACAAAACCTCGCACTAGAAGTGGTGATCATCATAGTTGGTTTGGTTTTGATGCCAAGTGGTGACTCTGGGTGTTTTTAGTGCGAGCGCAGTTACCATCTCTACACACATCACGTGGAGGGACAATGCTGCCAACTCTAATCCACACATTCATTTCAGTCGACATTTAGATATCAGGTCAAAATGTTTAGAAACATTTCATTTTATTTGTCTTGAGGAACAACCTTTCACTTGCAAAATAAATAGGAATATAAAGTGTTATGAATATGCAGTAGCTGTCCGACAACATCGGCCTCTGCATTGTAAAGTGAAAAATTGAAATAGATTTAATAAGATTATATTTAACTAAATTGTAATTGCATAGAGTACAATGAAGTAAAACTAAAATACTGCTGGGACATGTCTCCATGCTTTAATTAAAAAGGTCTTTATTGTTCTCATACAGCCTGTGCTGCAGCACCTCTTTTCACCCTCCGTCTGAAACCAGAGCCCAGTGTGCTCTGATTGGTTAGCTGGCCGGCTCTGTAGTGATTGGTCAACCAGTTTAGAGATGTCCCACCCCTTAGCTGTACAATAGGCGCCGCTTTCACACCGCAGTACTTTTCCCACAAAGGTTCATCAGAACTTAGTTCATCAGAACTCTTTCATTCTGATGAACTAAGTTCAGATCGCGTTCACACCGGAATAAGGGGGAGGATTAGGCAAATGAAGCCGCTGACGTCACTTCTTCTTCTTCTTCTTCTGCTTTGGGTTTTATTGGCAGGCCGCAAACAACTTCACGGCGTATACTGCCACCCGAAGTCCCCGTCCGGAAGTCCCCGGTGTTGGGGACTGGCTTCAGTAGAAGCTGCTGGGACTCCCAGCACCTTCTACTGAAGCCTTCCGAGTAAATCGCCAGAACGCCGACACCTCCTCATCTCCACCGCTCCCATGTTTTCTTTTGTGTTGCCATAAATAATTCAATCTGCGTTTGTACACTGGGCTAATGCTAATAATGCTAATGCGAGGATAATAAAATGGCGGCTTCACAAAACTTTTTGGGAGTTTTACGGGGCGTAGTTTGCAATCCGCCCAGCCAATCAGACATAGGAACCTTTTTCTCCCACGAAAGTACCTGCTCTCTAGCAAGGGTTAAAAAGGTTCTCATGAACTAATCTTTGTTCCGGATTTTTTTTTCTGTGAACGCGACATTTCGGAACAATATCGGAACTAAAGTGGGAAAAGTACTGCGGTGTGAAAGCGCCTCTTGTGTTGGAGCGCTAGTCAATGGAAGCGCAAGTTTTACATAGTGATGTCACTATGTCCCTGAAGTAAACAAAGGAGTCCAATGGAGGCGTTTCAGGCGGGGAGAGTGTGTTGGAGAGAAACTCCCTCTGGATGGGACACAGGGATTGTAGCCTCTGCAGACCATTTACATGCACTAAAACCTATAGAACTCTACAGGAGAGGGGAAACCCTGAAAAAACCCGAATAGGGCCCCTTTAAGCACTTGAGTTAATACATTGAGTGACAAACATAAACTTTAGACTGTTTGATGAGAGACCTCCCCTCTGTAAATCTGCTCTCTCTTTATTTCCCCCCCTGCAGAGGTCAAAGGTCACTCACAAACCCACACTATTGTCCGTCCGGCATCGTCTCCCCGCAGCTTCCTTTGACGCAGCCTCTCTGCAGGCGGTGGGAACATTGTCAGAATTCCTCGGCGTGCCGATGATTCCCCTCGCTCGCCGACCCGCTGGCTCGCCACCGGGGACACGCATTAGTTGTCGTCATGGGGACGGTGTGGGACAGTGTCACGGTTTGGCAGTTTACCCAGAGTGCTTAGCCTCAAACTGTGACTTACCTAACGAGGCCTCATCCTGGCGTGTGAGTCCTGCGGAGGCTCGGCCACAGAGATTATTCCTTAAAGCTTCTCCTGCAGACACCTGCTGATCAGATTATTAAAAACATGCACTAAAAGAAGCTTGAACTCAAGATAAAGAATCCCAGTTATTAGAAATGTGCTGACTAACAATGCATTTATTTAGAAATACTAAAGTATAAGTACCTAACATTATTCTTAAACACATGTTACTGTGTTTAGTTAATTTGTACTGCCTTGCAGCTTCAGATTAAATTGAGGCATAATCTATACTTTACGTAGCAGTAGCTCCATTTAAGAATGAACTAAATTGAAATAGAATAAAATACATTTAAAAATAAACAATACAATTAGAATACATTTAGAATTACATTGAAATATTTATAGGAACAACAGCCTGTGAACGAGCGTCATCCTGCATGTGTAAAAGGATTTATTCAGCATGCTTCCGTGTCACACCTGAGCACCAGGATATTTCTGCTAAGGGGATTACCGAGCAGGGAGGGAGGTCTGCTGCATGAGACCTGTAAGGGATCGAGGATTACACTACCATAATCGCAGACACTCAACAAAGCAACACACAGGAGCTACTGCTTGCAACACAGAGAAGAAGAAAAAGCCCTGCTAAGGAGATTGAGAACGTATCAGAGATGTCTAAAGACAAGCTGGAGAGCCTGGTGAAGCGCATGGAGGAGACGCTGCTGGAGATGGAGCAGCTGAAGGTGCACTGCGGGAAGCAGAGCGAGGAGCTGGGCCAGCTGGTGGTGGAGCTGCGCAGGGAGAACCAGGAGCTGGTGGAGAAGTACGACGAGCTCGCTGTGGAGATGAAGGAGGCCAAGGAGATTATAGATCAGCTGCAGGACACTAAACATGCCTTCAATGCGAAGGAGAGGCAGGCGCAGAAGCTCAGCCGGCAGCTCTGAACACCCACGCGAAGACGGAAACTCCAGTGGATGTGACCTGAGAGAACTGGAGGAAACTACACTCAAGATGGAAGAAAATATACTAAATACTGTTTCTTTAACATATAGAAACTGTTTTTTTCTGTCTAACCTACATATGTGCATGTGAAGCTTAGTAATTTAAACGGATATCCTGTGGTTTAGGGCCCCTCTTAAAGCCACGGCTCGACTTAATGACCTGGAATCAAAAGTCGAGGTCTCTCAGAAATGTACGTGTGGAAAATGTGGACTTTCTTTCTTTTTTTTTAAGATACATAAGGCATTAGGGTTCTAAAATTAAATCAGCAGCATGCCAGGAGGTCCCTGTAAACATTTTATTTGGTGATGTTTTTTTGGGTTGGTCAGTGCCCAGGAGAAGTGGGTGGTCACCTATTTTGGGTGTCTGGAGGTGGAGAAAAAGTGCTAAAGATACCTGATTATCCCTTCTGACGCTCAACCTTGTGAGACTTCAAGGTGCCTCCCTCCCTCTTGATCGCAGGAAACAGTGTTTTATTGTTTATCTAATAAAGTTTAAATCCTGCAGATGATGAGCAGGTTAGTGGAACTGACAATCACTCGTGTTGG